AAAATAAGAAGTAAAAAACATAAAACAAATAATAATATAATAAAAAATATGCTAAAATTAAAAAAGGAGAAAAATGAATAACTAAAACTTTTAAGGACCAAATTGAAATAAATTGAAATTTATGGACTAAATTGGTACTAAAATGATCTGTAAGAGAAAAATAAAAAATTAGGGGTTAATTTGTAAAATATGAAAAATGTAAACAGGGATCAAATTGAATAAATTGAAAATTCAAAGATAAAATTGAAACAAGTGACCAAAATGAATTATACTTCAAAAGTACATGGACTTCGAAAATAATTTAAAAATATCCTAATTACACAGAGGTCCCTCCCCTATAAATTGGCGAAAAAAACAAAAAAAAAAAACTCATTTGAAGCCATTCACCTAAAAAACCCCATTTCCTTTATAAAAAAGCTCCCAACCAAAACCGTGAACCCAAAATCGACTACCAAATCCCCAAAACAAACCCCAGTAATCATAGATCTAAAAACGAAACCCTCGGTTCTCACATTTTTTGACGACCTTTTAATTTTTCGGTGTTCCTCTTTGTGGTTTCGAATGCTGCTTTGTTGTGCGATGATGTATTTTTGTGTATTAATTGCCCCTTTGTTGTGTACTGTGTTTTGTGGTTCCCTGATGTTATTGTTTTTTTGGTTCGATCTTGTTGTTGGGTCGTGTTTCGTGTTTGGGTCACTCTGTTTCGATGTTGGTTCCGTGGTGTTGTTGTTGGTTGTCCGATCTTTTTGTTGCTTTGATGTTTTTCCTCCATTCGTTCAATCGATTCGTGTCTTCTTTGTTGCTCCCGGCTATGGTCGATCATTTTGAGCCCCGAAATAAGGGGGTCGTGATTATTATGGGTTGATCGAGAACCACGGGACTGTTCAGTCCCTGGGATTTCGGCCGGAAACTTCTGGCCGTTTGGGCGCGTGACTAAATATCAAAACCCTAACCTGCTCCTTTGGGCTGAACCAGGTCTGCTGGGTCAGCTACCCCGTTGGGCCTCATTTTGGACTTTGGACTTGGACCTGGACCAAAATAAAAATTAAAAAAATGAAATTAATAAAATAAAATAAGATAAATAAAAATAAATAATATATATATATATTTTAAGATATTTTAAAACTATATATTATACATATTTTTTTAAAAAGTTTTCAAAACTATATATTATATGATTTTCAAAATGTTTTTATACCATATATTATAAATGTTTTCAAAAATGTTTTAAAACAATATATTATATAAGTTTTCAAAATGATTTCAATATTATATATTATATAAGTTTTTAAAATGTTTTCAAAAACTATATATTATATATTTTTTTCAAAATGATTTTTTTAAAAAAACCATATATTATATATGTTTTCAATTTTTTTTAAAAACCATATTATAAAAATGTTTCAAAAAACCATATTATATATATATATATATGTTTTCAAAATGTTTTTAAAAGCTATATAATATATACATTTTCAAAAATTGTTTTCAAAACTATATATATATATATATATATATATTTCAAAAATCGTTTTCAAAACTATATATTATATATATTTCAAAAATCATTTGCAAACTATATAATATATATATATATATATATATATATAATAAAATAAAATAAAAATAAATATGGACGAAAATGAGTGTACAATATATATATAATTTATATAATTTATAATTTATATGCTTTATAGTTTATATATATATATATATATATATATATATACTATATAATTTATATACTTATACTTTATAGTTTATAAATATTATACTTTATTTATATATATAAATAAGTATATATTATGTACATATATTATAAGTATAATGTATAATTATATTATATACTTATATAAGTATATATTTATATTATATGCACAAGTTTAATGTACATTATATATATATATATATATAATATTATATTATCGTAAAATTTAATCACACATATTATATTATTATAATATATATTATAATTGTTTCAATTTTTCTTCAACCTTTAAAATGATTGTAATTCAATCTATTTTAAAAAAATTCTTCACAATTTAGAATTATTTTGATTCGATCCGTCCGTGTTGTTTAATTATTTAAATTTTATTTTGTAATTTCATATTTATTTAATTTAGTCCTTAAAATTATACTTGTATCTGAAATTGAGCAATACTTATTTATATTTTGTAATTTACTTCATACCCTATAAATTACATAATAAACTTAATTTCAAATTTTATAAATTATATTATAATCTCCAAACTCTATAAATTTTTATTCACCAACTTTTTAAATGGATACAATTTTGTCTAATTTATATTAATTTCAACTTTACGTCTTAAAATTATTTCGATTTGATCCCTCATCAATGTGTGTTGTTTAGTTTATTTTAATTTATGTTTTTGTAATTTCATGTTTGTTCAATTTAGTCCTTCAAATTATTTTTTATCAAACAACAACAACAACAAAACCCTATTCCCATATGCAATGGGGTTAGGGGGAGGTGGAATAGTAGGCTACCCCCAACGCCAGGTTGAGAGCAGCTTCCGTGGGAGACCTCTGGCAGTAAGAAAAGTAAAAATAAAGATAAAATACAATGCATATATAGATAAATCAATAAATACATAGTTGAGGGCAGTTTCCCTTCCAATTAATTCCTGCGTAAAAATCTCTGCTTATAGACAAAAACGTAAGTCCCGGTTAAATTTAAATAGAGGAAACATGAAGAGAAGAAAACACATAAGTCAGCGATACCAATCTACTAGAAGGAATAAAGTCAAATGGGTTAAAACCCAAACTAAGGCAACCCTACTCCGCTACCCTAGGTCTAAGCCTTCATAAATTTCAACGACAGAAACATATAAATAGTATAATTCATGGAATAAAAAGAAGACAGAGATGCTACACCCTATGGCTGTGACCCACAATACTCGGCTACCCTGGTCTTAAGTCTCCATACTTTCATATCAGAGATCATATCGTCGCTAAGGGCTAAATCCTTCAAATCAGATCTCACGCAGTCTACCCACTTCCTCCTTGGTCGTCCTCTCCTTCTTGCACCGTCGACTGTAATCGACTCTACCCTCCTGACCGCATCCGACGGTTGTCGCCTAAGGACGTACCCAAACCACCGTAGTCTTCCCTCCCTCAATTTTTCGGATACATGCACCACCCCAAGGATATCCTAATTGCAGAGTTTGGTGTCATGTCCCACAGTGTCCTACCACATGCCCATCGAAGTATTCTCATTTCTGCAGCCTCCATCATTCTTACGTGATCCTTCTTGATTGCCCAACATTCTGATCCATATAACAGTACTGGTCTTATTACCATTCTATAAAATTTTCCCTTAAGTTTTAGAGGCATCTTCTTGTCACACAAAACTCCAGTTGCAGCCCTCCACTTTAGCCAACCCACCTTTATACGGTGTGTAACATCATCATCTACACCCCCATCTTTATGTATCATAGACCCTAGGTACTTGAAACAATCCTTCGAGGGGAGAACGTGTCATTCGATGCATACTTCTAAATCTTCATCGTTTTGGTTCTCACTGAAGTTTGAACATAAATACTCTGTCTTTTCAATATTGATCCTTAGACCTTTTTCTTCCAGAGCAGTCTTCCAGGTAACGAGTCTACTATTCAGTTCAGTTTTTGTTTCAGCAAGTAGGACAATGTCGTCAGCGAAAAGCATACACCATGGAACACCGTCTGGTGTCGCACAATAGATGTCATCCATAATCAAGGTGAAGATGTAAGGGCTAAGAGTCGACCCCTGGTGGAGTCCGATTTCCACTGGGAATGCCTTGGTGTCGCCAATTGTAGTCCTGACGTATGTAGTGGATCTACAGTACATATCACTAATTGCCCGGATATAAGCATTTGGGATCCGTCTCTTTTCCAAGGTCTTCCAGATCGTATTGCGGGGAATGATATCATATGCTTTCTCAAGGTCAATGAACGCCATGTGAAGATCTCTATTTTTCCCTATATTTCTCCATAAGCCGTCGAAGTAGATGAATCGCCTCCGTAGTAGACCTGCCTGGCATAAAGCCAAATTGGTTTTCCGAAACCCTAGTAATCTATCTCAACCTAGCCTCTATCACCCTTTCCCATAGCTTCTTGGTATGACTGAGTAGTTTAATACCTCTGTACTTACCACAACGTTGGGGATCTCCTTTATTCTTATAGATTGATATCACCGTAGTCTCTCTCCACTCCTCTGGCATCTTGGCAGTCTCTAAAATAATATTAAAGATATTGGTCAACCACTTAACTCTATCTTCTCCTAGGGCCAACTACACAGTGATAGGAATTTGATCTGGACCGACAACTTTGTCCCTCCCATCTTTCTAAGAGCCATTTTGACTTCCTCAATCCCAATACTACTTGTAGGGCAGTCATTGGCCTTAGTATGATGGTCTGCTGACCCATCAACGGTACTATCTCTACAGGGAGAGGCACCATCATTAAATAATCCGAAGAAGTAACTACCCAAAACCCTCTTAATATCATGATCTTTCAATAAGAGAATACCATTGTTGTCCTTAATAAACATGAATTACGACTTTCAATGATGTGATCTGATCTAAACGAGATTCGACTGAAGTCCATCCGAACCTGAATTAACTTAATATTTAACTGCCTCAGACCTAAACCCTTTTTACCTAAACTAAAATTGATTCGAACTGAAATTAACCCGAACTGAACCCGAACTGTACCTGATGTTAAATCAACATGAAAATGATCCAACCTGATTTGATCTAGACCCAACCTGATTCAAATCAAACCATCAAATTAACATGACACAAACTGTATATGATTTTATTTGAGCTGATATGACCTGATTTTACAGTCTCTACCTTCTATATACATGTTTTCTCATGCAACAAACAGAGCCTCAGAAATTGTCATAAAATTGGAAGGTAATCACCCCCTAATCATAACTCTGATTCTCATAACGCATTTATCCTTTGACCTAACCCAATTCATACAATCACCAGGGGTCTCCGTTGCAATTCAAATTTCATCTTCGTCTACCTTCAGCTCTGGGTTTTCAGGTAATTTTTTTGAACTTTTACTTCTGCTATTGGATTTTTCTTTCTTTCTTGGGTGTTTCGGGTTTGGGGTGTTAGTTTCTTTAGTCGACTTCTAATATTTAATGGCCTTCTTCCAAACTGAAACTGGGTTTTTTTGTTTTCTGAAACTAGGAACTGTAAATAATTGAATTAAACAGCGTCGACATACCATTTGTTTTTGTTTTCTTGGAGATGGGGTTGACGAAGTTCTTGAGGACGAGGTTTAGAGACATCCAGTTATTAGACAAGAAAAGTTTTTACCTATGAATTTTTGCTGGCTATTTTTAAAAAAGATGACTGCACAAATAAGGGAAAAATGGTCATCCAAAGTTGTTCCCTAATGTTGAGTTAGTAGAATTTGAAGGAGCAATTTTTAACTATATTTTACATCTCGTTCTCCTGGTAATATATATATATATTTCATTTAGTAGAGATGACAGATGATGTGTATTCGTTCTTTGGAGTTTTGATGCTGCTTGATTCTTGGAGAAATTGTCCATAAAGTGTGTATAAGTTTTCCTTTCTGGATTAATGTTGTCCAGGTAGATGGAAGATGGTGAAGTCTCCATTCAAATATCAAAGGATCAGAAGAAAATCGAGATGCATATTGTCTCTGAAGGAAATAATGTGATTTTGATGCCCCCGGAGTCAAAATTCTGCTCTGTCTGTGTATTTTCCGGGGAAGCGAATACTATTTCGGAATCGATAGAACGACGGAAGTCGGTAACCAAGCTTTCCGGGCTCATTGTTTTCTATGTTGTGGTTATGTTAGTAGAGATTATTGGTGGGGTGAAAGCCAACAGCCTTGCAGTTATGACAGATGCTGCTCACTTGCTCACTGATGTTGCTGGATTCTCCATATCTCTTTTTACAGTATGGGCTTCGGCATGGAAGGCAACGTCGTACCAATCTTTCGGATTCAATCGCCTTGAAGTCCTCGGTGCTCTTTTATCTGTGCAACTCATATGGCTTATATCTGCTCTGCTACTATTTGAAGCAGTCGACAGAATTCTCCATGAACATGACAAGGTGAATGGGGCACTCATGTTTGCAGTTGCTGCTTTCGGATTTTGTGTCAACTTGGTTATGGTTCTTTGGCTGGGTCATGACCACACTCTCCCTGCTTGTGGAGGAACCGATCATCATCAACATCGACGCCATGATCTTGACCACCATCACCACAACCATGAACATGAGAGAGGGCAACCTAGTCATCGAACCGAGGACGAGGAGACTAATCTGGTGCTCGGTAGTACAAAGACGAACAAGATATTGAACATAAATCTCCAAGGGGCTTACTTGCATGTCATGGCAGACCTAATTCAATCAGTCGGGGTGATGATCGCTGGAGCCGTTATTTGGATAAAACCGGAGTGGTTAATCATTGATCTTCTCTGCACACTCATCTTCTCTACGTTTGCTCTAAGTACCACCCTACCCATGCTTAGAGATATTTTCAGCATATTGATGGAAAGGACACCAAGAGATATCGATATCGATATGCTCGAAAGTGGTATCAAGGGCATCAATGGAGTCCATAACATTCATGACCTCCATGTATGGGCGATAACCGTCGGGAAACTCGTATTGTCCTGCCATGTTGAAGCTGAGCCAGGAACTAGTCCTAATGAAATACTCAGAGAGATCAGTGATTACTGTGAAAAAACATACGAAATTCATAACGTAACTATACAAATCGAGTAGTCCTTTGGTATGTTCCTTAACAAATCTTACAATTTAAACACCTTTACATTTTCGTTTCTGTAGTTAGTATGAGAATGCAGATTGAATCATCGAAGAATGCTGACCAACTGTTGCAATTGTTTCGGATTAAATGATATTTATGATATATTAATGAGTTAATGACTTTGTAAGCAGTGGACTTTGTCTTGTCCTCCAATCCGGGATACACCGAAGGTAGGTAGGAGAGTGGGCACAGTCACTTCTAAAAATTTCAAACTATTAAATAATTCTTTTTTGTATTTTTTATTGAAAGTCTTTTTTTATCCTTAAAACTTTAAAAGTTTACCTGTAACATAAAGTCCTACGTCGTTGCGTTTAATGTGCACGATTATCATGCGGCGGCTTTAGTTTTATTCTCTAGTAGCCCGTGAAGGCCAATGGGCAGTGCACTCAATACCATCTGCCCCTTCTTGTATTGGTCAAATAGCCACCAACGTTGGATTGTTTTACATACGGTAAAAGAGAAGCTACCCAGTTCAAACAAATGTACTACTCTTATGCAACGGATCTTATATTAAAATCCATAATTACATATACATATGTATAATGCATAATTTATCATAATTATAGATACACATGTGTTATAGGTATTAAAATGTAGATATTATAAGTTATATTTATAATTTGATAAAAAAATTATAAATACTTAAAATACAAACCTAATATTCAAGTTATATAAATAAGTGGTGGTCTTCAAGAAATATGTTAACTTGTATTATTCTTATCCTGGAAGATCACAAAAAAAGACTCAAATATCTTAATGTATCAATTAATTTAAGTATGTTTTTGCATCTAATATTTTATTCAATAATTTAATATGATTAAATCCTGAATTTTGATTTTATATCAATTATGTTTTGATTCTATCAAAAGACTAATAGTGAGCACCAAAGACATCAAGGAAGGATTACACATGGGATGAGTCAGCATCTAATTTGGTTATATAAACAAAGTCCAATATAAAATCTCGATCGTTGTTTTTCCTCGAAACCTCATAAGCCTCAAACTTATTTTAAAAGATCAAAACGAAATTAGGTATCTACACTATCATCCTAAAACCTAATCTGTTCTCAATATTTTTATTCTCTATATAATGTATCTTCCTATGTAGCTCTTGTGTGTTCAATGGATTTAATGGTCCACTCATATTGTCACGAAGGAGAAATATTAGCAGATCTTTTTATATCAAATAAAGAAATATCAAAATCAGGAGCTAGATGATCGCGAGAAAAAAGATAGAAAAGTAGAAGGAAAAAAAAAGGAATTCAGAATTTCATTCAAAATCATAGATACATAGTACATGAGCATAATTTTCCTTTTATTTTATACATAGTATTGAGGTAGTTACTGCCAGCTTTTGATTCTGACAAAGTATTCGTTGTCTTGTAGGATTGCCTGACCTATCTATGGATCAATTCTCAGTCGTTCCTCCATTATCTTCAAGTATATTCGTTAGCCTGTTGGACCTCATCTTGCCCAGATAGTCTCGCTCCAAATCTGCCTTAATCATCGTTGAAACGCTGCCATTGGACTTAACTTCAATGCTGTTGTTTTGCTCATTCCCCACCTAACTATCAAAATTCCCAATCTGTAACATCCCAAACCGATGAGGGTGACCCGATCCGATCAGAGGTGTCACATCAAGGCCATCGGAGCGATCCACTCCGAAAATTCTAAAACTTTTGTTAAACCATTTAAAACGTAAAACAACTATAATTAAAAATACAAATATAGAAAACCATTAATATATAAAAAATAAAATTAAAAATCATACAAGTTCTATACTCAATATAAAAACAAACACAACTTACATGCCCCTAATTACATTGGTACCGTACTCCGCAACAATACCGAAAGAACTCTCATACTGATGTCGATGATGTGCAAGATCAATTCCTTTAACCTGAAACGGTTACTACAGAGTGAATTTTGGGAAAGCTCAATAATACAATACTACCATATGAATGCTAAAAGTCAAGTAGTTATATGACAAAGCATGAAATTTTCTTGGTTATCCATGCATATACTTGTCCTAGTGATGAGTTGAGATTTCACTATCAAATCTTCAAGTAACCGTCACGAGACTTACAGTTCAGAGAAAACATTCAGAGAGACAGATTCAAGAGATCGAAATAGGACTTCTAGCGTGTTCCCATAAAAACAGAAATAGAATATATATGGTTTAAAAAAATAGTAGTAGTTTATTTCAGTAAACAAATTTTTAAAATTATTATAGTACCCTCCACCCGAACACTCCATATGAAATTTCCCAGAACAGGCATCCATAAGGACTTACTCTAGACCCCTAGGATCTAGGAATCCAATATGAATGATTAGAATAAAAACGAGTTACCAACTAAAATAGAAATAGTGTACATATGGTTTAAAAACAACAATAGTTTATTTCAGTAAAACAAATTTTTAAAATTACTGTAATATCCTCCAACCAAACACTTTATATGCAGCTCTCAGAACTACGTTCATAAGGACTTACCCTAGGCCCAATGGGCATAGGAGCCAACCTAAGGGAACACATTGGGTCCATAAGGACTTAACCTAGCCGAAGCGTAGGAGCTACCTTAGTGGAGTGCCTCCAGGTCCATAAGGACTTACCCTACGCACAAAGCAAAGGAGCCACCTTAAGGATGTACATTAGGGTTTGTAAGGTCTTACCACTAGGCTCATTGGACCCAAGAGCCCACCCAAGGGTTGCTTTCGATCCATAAGGATTTACCATCCTAATCGGGGTTGAACCTATAAAACTCCATAACAGATCCCAGATAATACCCCAATATAAAGCAAGTTAGCCAATAAACAGAAATATCAAAATCAGGAGCCAGATGTACCCAGTATCATAAACTAGAGACTAGAAACCATGTTTTTATTTCAAATATCATAGTCATACTTTTTATAAATAGAGAAAATATCCATGGGTATAAGGAATACACTAGACGTTCTATTTCGATCTCTTGAATCTTTCTCACTGAATGTTTTATCTGAACTGTAAGTCTTCTGATGGTTACTTGAATATTTAATAGTGAAATCTCAACTCATCACTGAGACAAGTATATGCCTGGATAACCAAGAAAATTTCATGTTTTGCCATATATCTACTTGACTTTTAGCATTCATATGGTAATATTATATTACTGAGCTCTCACGAAGCTCACTCTATACTAACCATTTCAGGTTAAAGGAATTGATCATGTGCATCATCGACATCAGTATGAGAGTTCTTTAGGCATTGTTGCAGAGTACGATACCGGTGTAATTAGGGCATGTAGGTTGCATTTGTTTTTATATTGAGTATAGAACTTGTATGATTTTTAATTCTATTTTTGAAGTTAATCGCTCCGGTGACCCTAATGTGACACCTCTAATCAGATCGGGTCACCCGTATTGGTCTCGAGACTGTTACACAATCTGTTTAATCCCTAGATTTTCATCATTTGTTATAAACCCTAATTTCTCAATTGAACTCATAACAATACCCCTCCTTCACACGATCCTTTTCCTCAAGGATCAAAATCAAGAAATTGAGATTTCAAAACAGAGTAATCTTCCCAAGTTATATTCTCCGATTTCAGATTCGACCACTCAATAAGAAACTGTATGATAACACGATTATCACGCTTGATTATTCGTTTATCCAAGACCATCGTTGGGTGTACGCGAAGTTGACCTTCATCTTCAACCTCAAGAGGATCGATAGAGGTAATCCTCTGGTCACCAATTCTCTTCTTCTACAAGCTAACATGAAGAATTGGGTGAATTCATGATGTAGGAGGTAACTGTAATTTGTAAGCAGCTAAGTCAAATTTTCCAATGAATTTTTAAGGACCATAATACTTTGCAGAGAGCTTCAGGTTTTTAAGAATCGCTACTAACATTTGACGATAGGGCTATAACTTCAGGTAAACTTTCTCCCCGATCTGAAATTCTTTTTCGACAAGTTACTTATCTATATTTTATTTCATCTGATGTTGTGCCCTCGTTAAATTCTCTTTAAGAACTCGATTCATCTGTTCACGTTATTGTAGAAGTTCTTGGACAGTTTGAACTGATGTAGTTGAAATAGAGGGTAACATGGGGGCTTTGTAACCATACAAAGCTTCAAACGGTGTAGATGGTTGTACGAAAATTGTTGTTATACCCGTGCCCAATCTTTAGGTTTCAGGAAACATAATGTTCTTAGTTAATGTTCCAAGCATTGCACACCCTTTCGATTTGACCATCTATTTCAAGGTGATAGACCGTACTGAACGAGGGGTTTTCCCTAGTTGCTTTATAAACTCCGTCTAGAACATACTAGTGAATGTTCTTTCCCAGTTAGAAATAGCTATTTCTGGTTTTCCATGTATCTTGTAGACATTTTCAAGGTACTTGTGAGCGACCTCTACCATAGTATAAGGGTATGAAAGACAAAGTTATCAAAGACTCAAGGTGCATCGAGGCACAAAGTGCCCTGGAGCCTTGAGGCGCATGAAAGGCGCGAGGTGCATGAAAGGCGTGGGATTCACGAAGGCGAGGCGCATGATACCCAAAAAAATTGTAATACATGTATATATTAATGCAATCAAACTCAAATATCATAGATACCCAATATTAGGCTTCAATAGAGTTCATTCTCAAACTCAAAATACCAACCTAACGTCATAAAAGCTATCAACAAGCATAATCAAGTACTAAGTTTAACAAAAACATCCAACATGCATAAGCAAAACATCAAATAAAGTCACTGATAATCATCATCAAACATCAAACATCAAATTCATCCTCATCATTATCGTCAAGTGGTATATATCATCATCTTCCTCCTCATCCGTCTCACAATCCCCAATGTCTTCTTTTTAAGTGTCACTCTCCTCTAGCATAACAACTTCATCATCTTCATCTACAAGGTATGGTCTAACTTTTTCCTTTCCTTTCGAGCTTGAACTAGCAACGTTCTTTCTTCTAGTATTATGGTCACGCTCATAATCTTCGAAAGCTATACCAACATCCCTCCATGTCAAATCGTCATCATCAAACACA